TGCCTCATGGTATATATCTTATGTGTGTACCTGTCTAGGTGTTTGTGATTTGTCTCATGGTTTACATCTTATGTGTAATTGTACCTTTCTAGGTGTTTGTGTGATTTGCCTCATGGTATATATCTTATGTGTATTGTACCTGTCTAGGTGTTTGCAGGATTTGTTTCATGGTATATATCTTATGTGTATTTGTACCTGTCTAGGTGTTTGTGTGATTTGCTTCATGGTATATATCTTATGTGTGTACCTGTCTAGGTGTTTGTGATTTGTTTCATTGTATATATCTTGTGTATTTGTACCTGTCTAGGTGTTTGTGGGATTTGTTTCATGGAATATATCTTACGTGTATTTGTACCTGTCTAGGTGTTTGTGATTTGTTTCATTGTATATATCTTATGTGTATTTGTATCTTTCTAGGTGTTTGTGTGATTTGTTTCATGGTATTTATCTTATGTGTATTGTACCTGTCTAGGTGTTTGTGTGATTTGTTTCATGGTATATACCTTATGTGTATTTGTACCTGTCCAGGTATTTGTGATTTGCCTCATGGTAGATATCTTTTGTTTATTTGTACTGGTCTAGGTGTTTGTGTGATTTGTCTCATGGTATATATCTTATGTGTGTGGCTGTCTAGATGTTTGTGTGATTTGTCTCATGGTATATATCTTATGTGTGTACCTGTCTAGGTGTTTGTGTGATTTGTCTCTTGGTTTATATCTTATGTGTGTACCTGTCTAGGTGTTTGTGATTTGTCTCATGGTATATATCTTTTGTTTATCCATATATATCTCAACATTTCTTGTATAAAATAAACCCTGTTTGTGGGATTTGCTTCATGGAATATATCTTTTGTGTATTTGTACCTGTCTAGGTGTTTGTGTGATTTGCTTCATGGTATATATCTTATGTGTGTACCTGTCTAGGTGTTTGTGATTTGTTTCATTGTATATATCTTGTGTGTATTTGTATCGGTCTAGGTGTTTGTGGGATTTGTTTCATGGAATATATCTTACGTGTATTTGTACCTGTCTAGGTGTTTGTGATTTGTTTCATTGTATATATCTTATGTGTATTTGTATCTTTCTAGGTGTTTGTGTGATTTGTTTCATGGTATTCATCTTATGTGTATTGTACCTTTCTAGGTGTTTGTGTGATTTGTTTCATGGTATATATCTTTTGTGTGTACCCGTCTAGGTGTTTTTGATTTGCCTCATGGTATATATCTTTTGTTTATTTGTACTGGTCTAGGTGTTTGTGTGATTTGTCTCATGGTATATATCTTATGTGTGTACCTGTCTAGGTGTTTGTGTGATTTGTTTCATGGTATATATCTTATGTGTATTTGTACCTTTCTAGCTGCTTGTTTGATTTGACTCATGGTATATATCTTATGTGTATTGTACCTGTCTAGGTGTTTGTGTGATTTGTTTCATGGTATATATCTTATGTGTATTTGTACCTGTCTAGGTATTTGTGTGATTTGTTTCATGGTATATATCTTATGTGTATTTGTACCTGTCTAGGTGTTTGTGTGATTTGTCTCATGATATATATCTTATGTGTGTACCTGTCTAGGTGTTTGTGATTTGTCTCATGGTATATATCTTGTGTGTATTTGTACCTGTCTAGGTGTTTGTGGGATTTGTTTCATGGAATATATCTTATGTGTACTGTACCTGTCTAGGTGTTTGTGTGATTTGTTTCATGGTATATATCTTATGCGTATTTGTTCCTGTTTAGGTGTTTGTGTGATTTGTCTCATGGTATATATGTTATGCGTGTACTGTCTAGGTGTTTGCGATTTTTTTTCATTGTATATATCTTGTGTGAATTTGTACCTGTCTAGGTGTTTGTGTGATTTGTCTCATGGTATATATCTTATGTGTGTACCTGTCTAGGTGTTTGTGATTTGTTTCATTGTATATACCTTATGTGTATTTGTACCTGTCCAGGTATTTGTGATTTGCCTCATGGTAGATATCTTTTGTTTATTTGTACTGGTCTAGGTGTTTGTGTGATTTGTCTCATGGTATATATCTTATGTGTGTGGCTGTCTAGATGTTTGTGTGATTTGTCTCATGGTATATATCTTATGTGTGTACCTGTCTAGGTGTTTGTGTGATTTGTCTCTTGGTTTATATCTTATGTGTGTACCTGTCTAGGTGTTTGTGATTTGTCTCATGGTATATATCTTTTGTTTATCCATATATATCTCAACATTTCTTGTATAAAATAAACCCTGTTTGTGGGATTTGTTTCATGGAATATATCTTATGTGTATTTGTACCTGTCTAGGTGTTTGTGTGATTTGCTTCATGGTATATATCTTATGTGTGTACCTGTCTAGGTGTTTGTGATTTGTTTCATTGTATATATCTTGTGTGTATTTGTATCGGTCTAGGTGTTTGTGGGATTTGTTTCATGGAATATATCTTACGTGTATTTGTACCTGTCTAGGTGTTTGTGATTTGTTTCATTGTATATATCTTATGTGTATTTGTATCTTTCTAGGTGTTTGTGTGATTTGTTTCATGGTATTCATCTTATGTGTATTGTACCTTTCTAGGTGTTTGTGTGATTTGTTTCATGGTATATATCTTTTGTGTGTACCCGTCTAGGTGTTTTTGATTTGCCTCATGGTATATATCTTTTGTTTATTTGTACTGGTCTAGGTGTTTGTGTGATTTGTCTCATGGTATATATCTTATGTGTGTACCTGTCTAGGTGTTTGTGTGATTTGTTTCATGGTATATATCTTATGTGTATTTGTACCTTTCTAGCTGCTTGTTTGATTTGACTCATGGTATATATCTTATGTGTATTGTACCTGTCTAGGTGTTTGTGTGATTTGTTTCATGGTATATATCTTATGTGTATTTGTACCTGTCTAGGTGTTTGTGTGATTTGTTTCATGGTATATATCTTATGTGTATTTGTACCTGTCTAGGTGTTTGTGTGATTTGTCTCATGATATATATCTTATGTGTGTACCTGTCTAGGTGTTTGTGATTTGTCTCATGGTATATATCTTGTGTGTATTTGTACCTGTCTAGGTGTTTGTGGGATTTGTTTCATGGAATATATCTTATGTGTACTGTACCTGTCTAGGTGTTTGTGTGATTTGTTTCATGGTATATATCTTATGCGTATTTGTTCCTGTTTAGGTGTTTGTGTGATTTGTCTCATGGTATATATGTTATGCGTGTACTGTCTAGGTGTTTGCGATTTTTTTTCATTGTATATATCTTGTGTGAATTTGTACCTGTCTAGGTGTTTGTGTGATTTGTCTCATGGTATATATCTTATGTGTGTACCTGTCTAGGTGTTTGTGATTTGTTTCATTGTATATACCTTATGTGTATTTGTACCTGTCCAGGTATTTGTGATTTGCCTCATGGTAGATATCTTTTGTTTATTTGTACTGGTCTAGGTGTTTGTGTGATTTGTCTCATGGTATATATCTTATGTGTGTGGCTGTCTAGATGTTTGTGTGATTTGTCTCATGGTATATATCTTATGTGTGTACCTGTCTAGGTGTTTGTGTGATTTGTCTCTTGGTTTATATCTTATGTGTGTACCTGTCTAGGTGTTTGTGATTTGTCTCATGGTATATATCTTTTGTTTATCCATATATATCTCAACATTTCTTGTATAAAATAAACCCTGTTTGTGGGATTTGTTTCATGGAATATATCTTATGTGTATTTGTACCTGTCTAGGTGTTTGTGTGATTTGCTTCATGGTATATATCTTATGTGTGTACCTGTCTAGGTGTTTGTGATTTGTTTCATTGTATATATCTTGTGTGTATTTGTATCGGTCTAGGTGTTTGTGGGATTTGTTTCATGGAATATATCTTACGTGTATTTGTACCTGTCTAGGTGTTTGTGATTTGTTTCATTGTATATATCTTATGTGTATTTGTATCTTTCTGGGTGTTTGTGTGATTTGTTTCATGGTATTCATCTTATGTGTATTGTACCTTTCTAGGTGTTTGTGTGATTTGTTTCATGGTATATATCTTTTGTGTGTACCTGTCTAGGTGTTTGTGATTTGCCTCATGGTATATATCTTTTGTTTATTTGTACTGGTCTAGGTGTTTGTGTGATTTGTCTCATGGTATATATCTTATGTGTGTGGCTGTCTAAATGTTTGTGTGATTTGTCTCATGGTATATATCTTATGTGTGTACCTGTCTAGGTGTTTGTGATTTGTCTCATGGTTTATATCTTATGTGTGTACCTGTCTAGGTGTCTGTGATTTGTCTCATGGTATATATCTTTTGTTTATCCATATATATCTCCACATTTTTTGTATAAAATAAACCCTTTCACACATTTCACATCCTTACCCTAATAGATTTTTCTTTCAGACAACCAGTTACCCTCAAAATATGCACAGACATCACTGAAACTATGTTCATTCAGTGAATATTTTAATTCCTATCTAATAGTAATCAAAAGCTATATGTTGAAGAAAAACCACCAAAATGCAACAGCCTAGAAACATAAATAAAAAGACAAGTAACAGTCTACAAATTGTATACAGAAATTTAAAGAAAGAGCAAAACAAACGCCATAAAAAAGAGAGTTTGCTCCAGAAGGATAAGTCATTCCTGCTCCACTATTGGCACCCTTCCTGTTGCTCATAAAAATATGGCGATGTCATCAACAAGGAAAGGAGGATGGTTGTGGCTATGATAAATGGAACATAACTGTGGTCATCTGTGACACAACAGCACCATTTATCATCCTTGGCTGTAAAGCTTCCTTATAAGAAGCAACCCTCTATTAGGGAAATCTTGATAAAACACACAACTCCTGGAATATCAACTGCCGAGAAATATGTCATATGCATGAGCTATTGGAATGATGCTACAGAAAGTTCATAATGGAAAAATTGAAGTCATATCTTTTGTCATAATGGGATACTGCCTGAGCATCAACCACATATATACCATCTTCTTAAACTAATTAATATCTTAAAGAAATAAAAAAAAATGCAGTCTTAAATTTTTTTATTGTTTATGTATAAATGTTGAGTTCAGCAACAACATCTACTGAATGTTTCAATCAGTATCACAGAGCTGTTTGGATTTCTATAGAGATGTTTGTACACTTTTCTGATTCAGAAAACTGTAACCAGCCTGTAAACAATTTATCTACCTCTAGATATAAAATTGTAGTTACATTATCTCTACCTATAATGTGTACATATACAATTCTATCTAATACATGACCGGAATGGTATGGAAATGATTGAACATCGGTAAAAAACATGACCAATCACTTCTGTTTATCTAATCTACCAGTATATCTAAATAGATCATTATATAATGCCACTTGTTATCTCTAACAAGAAATATCTAAATAAAACATATTGTTAAATTCTTCATGAAATTTTGGAAAACTGTACAGGATTTTTTTGCTCGCACTTTTTTCAAAAGTAACTTCAGACATCCAAAATTAAAACCTGTTTGATATTACTATGTATATACCCCATATATAAATATCTAAACAAAATCCTGAATTTGATTTGGACTAAAAACAAAACATTTTGGTAACTATGAAGAACCATAACAAAGTATGTTACATATAAAATATCTTCCTGTACAGAATACCAGAATTGTCAGTGGAGAAACTATTGCAAAGAAAATGAATTTCCTCACAACCTGGGACAACTGTACATACCCGGGAATTACTGCTGTAGCTTATCAATAACAATGAATATTATATTACATATGATGGAGGATGATCAAATATTGCACTATAGTATTTACCAGTAAAAATATCTTGTCTACTCAATCTTAGAAATTATTGTGGTTAATATTATGTTGTCTTTCCCATTTGAGGTTTTTATGAGAATAACAGAGCAAATAGTACCTGTACTATTACTTTACACCGAAAAATACATTAAAAAGACACCTGTCGAAAGGTGAAGGTAATTTGCATAACTAAATTACAGGTCCACAAGTATCAGCTGTTCATATAACATGTGTAAAATGTACATGTCATTCTTCTTTAAGCTTAACAACATGCATAACTGTAAACATCAAATGTCTTTGTGTTCTTATTTCCGAACATGGAGCCAAACAAAATCTATCTTCACACAATAGAGTAAACAAATGAAAAATTCACTTTTTATGATTGAAATTAAAATTTATAAATGATTGACAGACAAACTATGGCTGATTATTATCATTATTCTGTTGGGGAACTAATTACTACATGTAAATGTATCTGAGTATAACTACAGGTCATTCTGAAAAGTCTCTTGCATAAATGATAGATGAAACAGCCTTGATGAAAACAGATTCAAAACTATTCTGAGTATGCTTTTAAAATAAGCAGTATCTCAAATAGACTTAAGAAAATACCGAAATAAAGAGGAAATTTCAATCAATCACCAGATAAAATATTTTGATATCAAAGACACGAAAAATATTGATTTCACTTAATAATACACAGCTGAACCTTCCTGCTCTCTTATTTTTCGGGGGAAATGTGCCTTAAATGCTAATTTTTCTATGTAAATCCTAGAATATAAATACACTGACAACAGATATATTATTACTGGTCAGATGTCATGTTTATCTTCAAAAAATGCAGCTAACAATGAGTAATGCTTACATAATAAACTGTTTTATATTTACATATTTATAAATAATGCAAAAAATTAAATACAATTCCATTATTTACAGATAAAATTTGATATGAGATCACAGATGAGTTATCTTCACTTGATGAAGATAAATTTATCTCCCTTGCTAAACAATTTACTCCACTTTTTCAGGTTTTAACCTCCCCATCACATCAGTAAGTTTATAAATGGGGACAATTCTATTTTAAAATTTCAAATAAATTCCTTGTTCAACTTTTTTACATAGAGTTAAGCCACAACAAGAAAAGTAAAAAATATAATAAAAAAATTCTAAACTTTTTAACATCAATGGAAGAATTTAAAATAAAAATAAATAATGATACAAAAAAAAAAGAAAGAAAAAAGCTTTAGTACTCTTGCAATAATTCTTATTTTAACTTTTATTTTTACTTTCAAAAATAAATACTTTCAGCAGAGCAGTAAATATAATTTTCTGGAAGACAACCTACATAGGTACTCAAAGAGAATAAAGTGTCTGGTGAAATTGATGGAATTAAAGGAAGAGCTTTGAACCTTCAAAGCACATTTTATAAATAAGGAAAACAAATACAATGGCAAATAAATAAGTCTTGCATGTTTCGTTGCAAAATCAGCAAATTAAGTTTTTCGTTCAGTTTTCATTGGGTACTGCAAGTTCCCTGAGCACCTAAACGCAAATAACAACCCAAGAAAAAATAAATAATCACAGAGTGCTCTCCCTTAAAACAAAATATCACATAAAACTAATGCGTCTTTGGCGTAGAAACTTTTAAAGTCTGAGCACTATCACAATTATTGTCTTTAACTTCGTCCATATCAAACTGAAATTTTGTTTCCTCTTCTTTATCTGAGTTACGTTTCCGTGTTGAGAAACTTGCTGACGGACTGACTGGAATCATGCTTTGATACCAATCTCTATTGTCCTCTAAAGTGTCTAATATTTCTTGAGCATCGGGAAACACTAAATCTGCCCATGTCTCCCACAAAGGGTGCACTATATAGTCTATAAAACCAACCTGTCAATCATAAAATTATATATGTGTAACATCAGTGGCAAATGATTACAAATACAAATTTATTTTTTAACTTAAGACCAAACTTTTTTCAATTGTCATTTTTCTTACTTGCCATCTGTTAATTTTTTTTTTTTACAGTTAATCCTGGTTTGTTTAGGTATATACTGTACAACATGATGATCCATGTAGCTTTAATGTTCATGTTACAGACACAGAAAATTCTCTTCACTTCATGCACTTGAAATAAGCCAAAATTTCATTTAATTATGAATATGCATAAATTTCCTATTGCATAGCAACAACAATCAAACAATTATAAGTTTTTGTACTGCAAATATTTATTTCATAGTAATTACGTGATAAACAATAGATTAAAAGATTTGTTACCTGTGACTTTTCTATCGTGGCATTATGTCGGTCACACATCGGACTAATATCCATACCACGTTCTCTTTCTTTATCTCCTTGCTGGAAGAATTCTTCCATCAGTCGATCAACTGATTTCTTGTAAATCTCAATTGGTTTGGTGGGGTTACTAAGATCTGAACAATGGACCATATTTTGTAACACCTAAAAATAAAAATTTTAGTTTATAAAAGTTCCATAGAAGTTTACTTTCTGTACTATCAGAAGTTACTATCAAACTTTTGGTTGTACATGCATAACTATTTAAGAAATGTTTTTTGTTTTAATTTTTTTGTGTCAAACTTAAAAAAAAAAACATTAAAATTTATGATTCAGATAAAGTGAAAAAAAAAAAATTTAATGTTTTCTTCAGAAAATGTCATCTCCAGTTGTATAAATCATCAATCAATTATTCATAGCAGTATCAGTTTACATAAGACTTGTATATTATTGAAAACTCAGAAGAAACAAGAGCCTGAATCCCTGTACTAACATTAAATAATTCACAGAAATCAGGACATGCACAGAACAGTTGTTATAAAACTTGTATAATCAAGTCACATGACATCAAGCAGATAATGAAAACACTGTCCAAACTGTGTTAAACATTGGCTTCTAGTGCATTCTGTAACTCCACTTACTACATAGAGAACAATTTACTTTCTTTTTATGAACGTAAGATGTTTTAGATTAAAGATTAACATATACATGAAATATTTGCCAATGGAAGTTAAACAACCAACAATCAATCAATCATAATATAAATTGTCCTAATATGATCTTTACATTTTTAGGTATGAGATATTCCGTCTTAAAGGAGTTAACATTCATTTAGGACTTAATGTGTTATAATCATACAATACATGAATTACATAAAGATAGTTATTTCAGCACTTGATTCATTAGACTGAGTTCCCTGGACACCAACTTCTTAGATTTCATGATTCTGTTTTTAATGGGTGTGACTGGATAAAACTGGTCTTCGATACAGTCACTAACAGTTTTATTTACCTGTATTTTATCTGTATAATTATCCAACATAAGCACACCCGATCCTGCCACTTTTTTTGTTTCTACCATTGTTTTCAAGTCGGCTAATAAACTCATGTGTTTTGACATGTCCGTAGCTAACACCATATCGATTACCATTTTTCTTAAAGTCTGACGTTGTTTATCACTTAAATTGACGAAAATGTTACAATTGTCTTCTTGTAAAAGTTTGAATGCTACAGCGAGGTGATGGTTTTCTAAAACAGACTCATCGTTATACATCAGTGCTAGCTCTGACCCTAAAATATATAGATGTATATAAATGTAAAACTGAAACACTTACAGGGAGACAAAAACCATTCAAACATTTTTTTACTAAGGCCTTTTAAATACAAATATAATACCTTTCCTAATAATGAAATATAAATAATTATCTGTCATGATAGCATGTATCTTATCCTGTATTACATTTGTCTCTTTTACCCAATTTTTTCTGTACTTTTACCTTTTTATTTTGGTTGTATACGGCCAAACATTCTTTTTTTTTATCATTTTGTGTTCTTATCCAATTCATAGTGCTTTTTTTTGCATTTAATCAAATTTTATTTTCTAATCTTCTAATGATAAAAAATTAAATTGTGACGTAATATTGAAAAATTTAAATAGAATTATTCTTTGTATCATCATATAATTTACACTCAAAGTATATTAAAAGCTTATATAAATCTTTCTTAAATGAAAACTATGACATCAGAGAATTTATTTTACATATTAATCCCAACTTCTTTACGCAAGTAGTAAAATAATCAATACAAAGTACAACTGAACTAAAAATGATTGATATATGAACTCATCTATAATGATGTAAATAAATAACTAGAAAATCGGTTGACAGCAAACAAAAAATGTACTTTGAAATGGTAATTTGATGTGTTGTGTCTGTGAGAGTTGAATCTTTATGGTCCGTGTTTGGCTGGATGTTTATTTCTGTTTATTTAAGCATTCTTTCTTTCAATCACTATTTGAATGAGGTGGTTCCCAGTGTAATAGTTAGTACACATGGACTTACTTCTGAATATTGAAACCATTTGTGATTTGCACATATGTAGTCTTAAATAATTTAGCAAAATGAAAGCATCTTTTATTACCATGAATGTTCATGTCACAAGTTAGAAATGAGACCATAAATTATTAATACAAATGTTTATCATCCTCTGAAGTTACTACTAGAAAAGAAGAGTGGACACCAAGACCATTGTTCTTACCTGTGTGAACTAAATACTGATTTGTAAGACCAGGATGATCAACGTCATGTATAGCACTTGCAAAAATGGCCGCTAAAACTTCAAGATCAGTGAACACACTCTGAAAACAAAGAAACTTACTAATGACATGTGACAAAAATTATACTCATATATACACCAAACGGAATATCAAAATATTAATTACTGTTAAGTCTTCTTCAGTGTAGCTATGTATAAAAACAGGTTCATTGGTCTATCAATGTTTTTTACCTGGTGAAATTTTATAATGAAGGTTTATCTATTATAAAGTTCAACAACTTTAGCTAGCCAAGGCTTAAGGCAGTGTACCAGAAAGGCAGCAAGGATTTAATTTGGTCAGTTACCTACAATTTATTTGATGTAAACTTATGATGACAAATATATTACCTCACATAGTGTTATTATAATTTCATATGTTTACTGTACATGACAAATGTCCAGATTTGATGTCATAATATAGGTTGGTATGGCACGAACTTTAGTGTTTGAATAAAACTAAAGAAAAATTTAAAAAAAAAAAAGAGTGAAAGATCAAACATGCAGTGTGTCCTGAACATCTTGCCTGCTTATTTGAGTACCATGATATCAAAGTAAGACCTCTAAATTAAACGATGATCCCAAATAAATGTGTTACTCGATCAGAAAATAAGAAAACGATCGATGAATAATATTTACCTCTAATGCCTGTGATGACAATAACACATGTGTAGATTGTGTGACATCAGCAGCATGTGTAGAATTATGATATGGGTTGTCACGGTGATAGTGATCTTCTAAATGCATCAGGTAGTTCAACAGTGTGGTAGCAGGAATCTTAAACATACTTAGTAAGTCTCGTTCCTGCAAAAATATTATATTTGTGAGTTAAAGGTCATTGTTTTATACTATCAATTTGATGAAGTTTATTGAACTTAAATTAAATAATCTAAAAAACAATAATACTAACAACACATTAAAATTTATTCACACCAATAAGAACTATAACACTCAAAATGTGTTAAAATCTAATCTGGCAAATAAGAGCTGTTAATACTCAAAGTATTTGTGTGCAGTCATGGTGGTCAACAACCAAGGTATTATAACAGATATTATGGTATATAACCAAAGTGTCAATGACATCCATCCCTACAGCACGTCTTTTATTTCCAATTATCATGTATTCTATCTGACAATGATAAAATCATTTTTGGTGTGAAACCTATCAAAGTATCATATATTAATTATATATTTAAGTCATGTCTACGCCTTCTTGGAAGCTAAATTGTACTCTAGAAAGAGTAAATGATTTACAGCACTAAATTGTACTCTAGAAAGAGAAAATGATTTGGTTTTATTGTTTTTTTTACTCATCGTTTTCATAGAAGGCAATGTACTATTAAAGTGTGAAAAATCGTGACCACATATTACAAGAAACCATATGATGAAATGTAAAATTCCTCATGGCTTATTACCAAAACATGATGATCTTGTATAAATTATTGTTTGAATTTATGATATGTCAATTAGTGATAAGAGAGTACAGGCTGTCATTACAGCATGATATTTCCTCAGGTACTAAGTGACTCCGCTGGTTATGCCAAAATCACTAACTTTCTGGTCACTAATAGTGATAGCAGATCAATATAGTGACGTCAGTAAACAGGATCATATGATCTATCCTAATGTTTCTACACCAAGCCTTATTCAAATTACTGAAGGGATGTAAAGGTTTAAAAAAAATCTCTTTTCCATGCCATCTTGTATAAACATTAATTATTCATTAGCACTTTTGGTACCTTGTCATTTTATCATTTAGGGTTTGTCTTATCTTGTAATCTTACATGGTTATCAACTAGTTTCAGACAGAAGCCAATAACCTAATCTATTACAAGTTCTATCTTTTTATTAATTTTCATCATATTTTTGTTTTTGATATAATATTAAGGTTAAAAAAATGGATTTTCCAATAGAAAATACACTTAACATATAATTACATGAATTCCCAGAAAACAAAATGAACAGTGCTCTACTGCTGTTCTTTATCTTAAATTAAAAAGCCTCCTTAATGAGCAAGTTCCGCTCATTTGTATAATTCAATATATTTTGATATTAATGGAATATCTTTTGATAATAATTTTGTTGGAAGATTTTAAAACAAATTTTTGACATAACATGGATTTTTGTGATTTCTTATCTGATGACTTGAGTTTGGTTCTATCATTCCTCACACATCTTTAATTTCTATTGGAAAAACTGCCAAATTTTAAAACATTAATTCATGAAATCTTACAAAAGCTGCCAAGCTTCTTGGCATGTATTTAAAATTGTGATTCATTCATAAAGTTTAATTATCTAAGGGGATATATGTACAGCAGCAGAATCACAAGTTAATACCGAGGGAAACTGAAGACAATGGAAACTGACGTCAACAATAATAAGTCACTACAAACATTAGATACAGGTTAACCAGATAGACTGAAATCATCATCAAGGAATTTTATTATACAACTGTATATAATAACAGCTGATACCTAAAGGCACTTACTATAGCAATCCTAGCCCAGACTATTTCAACACATATCTAAAATGTAACAAGATTTTTATGCAAGCTTGTAACAATACTATGAGTAATAAAAATTATGGTATATAAGTTAGAGGTCAGATCTGACCAGAGTATTAACCTACCTGAAATATTTTGTAAGTAACACAGGTTAGAGGTCGATTCCCAGAGTATTCAGCAATTTTAAACACATCAGCACCCCATTTATTAATATCAGTTAAAGTCTGAAAATATAAATATGTACTTTTACTTTTTATTGCTAAAACTTAAAATTCTTATATTTTTTATTGGACAGAACTGTTGAATAGGTAATTATTGAAATAATGAGACAGACTCAACCATCAAATGACAACCAGTCGTAACCTGCTGCATTTTATTCCTAATTAACCAAGTTACCAAGATGTGCAATACTGGGTTTCCAATGCAAATATTGACTGAAGTAAGTATCGGGGAAATTTGATAGAAGTGACTTATACAGCAATATGATTTAACCTTCCATATTGATTTTAAGATTTAAGAGTAATTAACAAATTATGTTATGAATACTGCAAGTATTTAACTGTAGTTAACTGGGTCAGTATTAACGTCATCACATATATTTGATTTACCTACGGGACCCATTGACACAGACAAATCAAATTTCACTTTTACTTCAGGCTTTATACTTAATACTTATATACACAGACATTTAAAATAAAATAGTCATTTCTTTTGTTACAAAGTATATTGACTCATGTATGACCTTCAGCAATTGTCCTCGACCTTGGCACTACATTTTAAGACCAATACTCTGTTATATATGTGATATCAATATGCTATATTTATTCCTCACAAATGTTGCCACAATAAGAAGTATTATTTTTATTACCAAGTAGAACTAATTTCATAATACAATAATTCAATAGATATAACACATGTTGCAATAAATTCAAATTTCACTTCTAATAGTATAATTATCATATGTTTTTATAAGATTGGGTTCATTTTAATTAGTAGCAACTAAAACTCATTACAATGAATCATATAAAGTTGAAGTTTTGATTTTTTCTAGAGTAAAAATTTTGCATTGTTTTTTTTTTCCAAAGTAGTATATACATACCTGTGCCAAAAGGTCAGCATTAGTTGGTTCTACGCCATATTTAGGTACAATTCCAGTAAAACTGTTCGCATGTTTCATTTTGCGAACACCAATTATCTGGGTCATAGGACTCTTCTTTGAGTCTTTCTGTGGTTCTTCTTCTTTCCTTTTGACTTGAGGTTCATCTACTTTAACTGTTGGTAAATCAAGTTCTTGCTGCTTATCTGTAACAGAGGAAGTTCTCTATCAGATAAACAAATAACATTTAAAATCTATGAAGGTGTAGAAAATATAGTCATCTCATTACTGACTTTGCTATCTTGAAATTTTATTTGCTTTCTAAATCACTTTATTTTGCAAGGTAAAAAAATGTGTGTCCTTCATACTATTTTAGGATTATATTTTTTACTTTATGGTAGCATTTCTCAGCTGTCGCCTTGTCGTCTGTTAAGGTGACATTTTCATGACCAATTTTACATTGTTTACATGGCAGGAGAAATGAATCTTCTATCTATTATCCTGAGAAGTATTCATTAAGTCCTATTCAATCTGCCAGGATCATACCAACAATAAGACTTTGCCAAGTATTTGTTTTGGTCTCCCTCAATTTTACCATCATAAAATACATTAATACTGCAGGAGGTAAAGATTCCCATGTCAAATTTATGTTGGCTTACATTTTTACCTTGCATTAATGTCGATATGAAGTTTATATATAGTAAATTTACTACCATCATGAACTAGAATTTTATTTAATGAAATTTCTATGCACAGTTTTATATGAAAAGCCGACATTTTTATGCCAAAACAAATGTGTAACAGTTTCCTTCTTGGCATAGGAATATATAGATGACACAATTTGTTTTTTTTTCTTTTATTGTTTACCTCTTAAACTAGGATATTTTATTGATTAGTTTGATTATTGTTCTCTTTATTAAATATGAAAATACATTAGCCTTCTCAGTATAGAAAGGAATAAAAAAGGATCAGGGATATCTGATTTGTAAAGTAGTTTTGTTTAAAACTAACACTTTTTTTACTACCCACTTTTTTCCACGTAAATAGTGAGTACTGCAGATAAGGTGGTTAAACTTGCTGGTAACAAGAGACATTTATGTCAGCAGTTTAATCCATTTCCTGTACATATATTATAAGTCCGCTTATGTTTCATCCTCGTTGATTTCTATGTTGTACATGTAATTTATTTGTAACCTCATTAAATTACCTGTCTTTATGTTTCCTGTCGACACCTCTAAATGTCAACAGATGGAGATGTTCTTTCAAAAACTTAGTTAGCACAGAAAAGTCACAATTTTACAACTTAATACTTGTTTTCATGCATTAATTCTGTGCATTTTACAACTGAAAGCTGTGTAACTAATACAATAAACGAAGACAAAAAAGATGAATCACTGTTGTAAGATATACATAATACTACACGTAATTTGTAGACACAGCCCTGTTTCATTCAACAAATTGATGAACGTAGTTCAGTTTATTTAAAACTTTTCTATGCCAAAAATTGAGAGCTAAAGAAACAAAAGCCCATCAACAGACCAATAATACTCTTTATGGTAATACAAACTGGTATGAAATACAACATTTATAAATCTATTTATTATTTGATCTACAAAAATTCATCTTGTGATTGATTTCTGTTCATATTTATTCAATATATGTAGTCGATAGGCAATATTTCATATTTGTTCTCTTTGTTTTTCAGCTTCTTTCCCTACTGTGACAGTACTTAGATACAAACTTGTTCCTATATATACAATACAGAATGGGTTTTTCCCTTCTGAATTGTGATAACTGAAATTAGTAGTTCTTTTATTTATTGTTATAAGTTATGTAACATATTTTGACCTTACATAAGGTATCATCATTAAAGACTTTCATTGTTTTGCATTCATATTTCCTTGTGTGAGTAAAAGCATTGGATTTTATGTACTAATTTCTGGACTTTCAATCAAGTTTTTGCCAGCTTATGAAACTGGGGCTCCTATTTTAATAAATTAACCTCTAAATAAAGGTATCATAATTAAAGGCTTTATTCCCTTTGTGTGAGTGAAAGCATTACCACATTAACATGTCCTAAATTCTGGACTGTAGATCCAGTCTTTGCCAGCTAAGTAAACTGGTCTTTATCTATTTCACCCCTATATTAACAAATTTCCCTCTAAATTAACCATGACTTATCAATAGTATTCCCGCTAATAAGATTACACATACATTGTACTGTGTGACAAGCATGTAGAAGTCATTTAAAGGCAAACTTAACAAAGGTTTCTGTTATAATAAGACAACATTTTTAACAACTGATGTTTCAGCATGATATTCATGTTCATCATGACAGCTTTAAATCATTCCATTTTGTGCAGTTCAGTTTATGCAACAATATGTAAACAAAATAAAAACTGCAACTATCACTATCAAAAATATTTTTTTTCTATTTTAAAGTATTTCATAATCAACTCTTTTGATCTAGTTCACATTTTGTCAACCCAAGGCCTTTTATAGCTTACTTTTACAATATGGGTTTTGCTCATTTTCCTCCAGACCTTAATATAGTGACCTGAAATTTGAAATCAGATAAAACTTTGAAAATAATCCATGGACTATCAACACCACAGTGTCATCCGTCAACTGAAATCAATAACGATGGTCTACAGCTTCCTGTTATTTACTTGGTCCTACGTCAATCACACTTTTCTTCTTGACGATTAATCTCACCAGATCAACAACAATGTCATTAAGAACAGTTTTCCAACCTCATGACCTAATGCAATATTATAAATCAAAAGTTTTGAAGCCTTTTCTTCTACTTCTACAGACAATAAAGTGTTCCAGTATCTTGTATACCTATACTTCTACAGACAATAAAGTGTTCCAGTATCTTGTATACCTATACTTCTACAGACAATAAAGTGTTCCAGTATCTTGTATACCTATACTTCTACAGACAATAAAGTGTTCCAGTATATTTTAATTTGCAAGTATATTTGAATCCATGTTTCTTTTTTGGGGGAACAAATACACTGATGGTTACCTATTGTATAGCTATAATATAATGTTTTTTTGGGGGAACAAATACACTGATGGTTATCTATTGTATAGCTATAATATAATGTTTTTTGGGGGGAACAAATACACTGATGGTTATCTATTGTATAGCTATAATATAATGTTAAGCACAAGAACCTCAACATAGAGAGTAAATCCAAATGTCCAGGTTTTATTCTCTTCAATGAAAGCTACAACCTCAATTTATATTTTAAAAAATTGTCCAGTTTTATTACTTTTTCCACAATCATAACCCCCCACTTTCATTATATTCTAATAAATAGATTAATTGATTGTTGGTTGCTTAATGTCCAGGCAGTGGCAAATATTTCATGCATGTTCAGAACGATCTTATAAAAAAAAGAAGTAATTGGCAAAAATGTAGCTTAAAAACAAACTCAGTGACTATTTGGTACACCTTATCTATTATGAAATAGCATTATATAAGCAGTGACTATTTGGTACACCTTTCCCTTATATATTATAAAATAGCATGATATAAGCTACCATTTAGTCCTACCAGTTCCAAGACCTATTGTAGTTAGGATCAAAACACTTGCCTTATTTCCTTTTACCGAAGCAGTTATTACATAAAAGCAACATTATTCATTCAAATAAATTCGTTAATATTCAGAAATTTAGTAGTACTACTGACAACATATACCATTTGTCTTCTATCTTAGCTTCTGCTCATAAGACAAAACACAACAAAATGCTTTACAACAAGTAAAATAAAAAAAAAGTCCTAGGCTGAAAATTAAATTTGTACTAATGTTACTTACATGATTCCTGAATGAGTTTTGATTTATATTTCATTCCTTCAGAATGTACATAACTAGATAGTGTTAATACAGAATGCATTAGTACCATAGTGATTTATTATAGTCACTAACAAATGTCTTTCTATCTCTCTGTAATTCCCTGTAATGTCCTTATTCAATTTTCACAAATGCACAGTTTCTTTAAAATGCGTCAATATATTTTTCGTAGTATAACATCCGAATTAAACTTAAGTATTTGTCGGCTTTTATCATAATGATCACTTACACAGTATGAATGAGATACATGTGGCTTACTATAATATATAGTAAGTGACTGAGCATGCCCAGTGGAGAGGTAAATGTTTTATAGTAATTACATTCACCTGTACCTGGTCAGTTAAAGGTAATTACTCCAGTGTTTACAAAATATATTGTATTGATTTTTCTTTTATAAATAATAATACTTTCATAGCAAGGGAAATTAATGTAAATGAGATGAATGATCAATGTACAGCGTTTTAGGAAAGTACTCGTTTCCCCGGTCTTACTGCAAATGACATATTTTCTTAGAAAAAGAACTCTGTCATTTTTGTTTTGTTAGTTTAAAAAATCAAACATGATATGAACATCTTATGTTCAAATAAGGTTTTTAAACACGAATAACATATTGTATAAAGGAAATACTTAAAATTGTATAAATAGGACAGTTATTTCTTCAAAATGACAAAAACATTGTATATTGTTCATGAAAAACTGTAAAAAAGTACTATAAAATGACCCTAATAAAACCATACATTTTGAATCAGCTATAGACTAATTAAACAAAATCTGCTATAACAGTGGAGTGTCTTTTAATTGTCTGACTTTTAAGTAGACTGGTACTTTTGAGTATAATATCTTAAATCTCTTTACAAAGTACATGTCGATAGTAATTTCCACACGTTGTTATGTAATGAGATTTTAATCAAATTTAAGTTTCAAATTTTTTTTATAAACAAATCAGTAGAAATTTTGTATATATTATAACTCTTTTCATTATGGTGCAGGAAAGTTAGAGATTTACAACAATATGGAATCATCTCCTTCATTACATTCAGTTTCTTGCTTGATGTTAGTTCTATTACCTACATTTCCTGGACTTCAATTCCTTAGATTACTTCTCTATATTCTTGATAACCTCAGATGAAAACTGTGGTTTTTCACTTTTAATGTTGGCAATTTTCTTCTCAATTATTTCCTTGGTACTTTAGGTTGGCATCCGTGCATCGTTACGTCAATAAGTTTACTTACATAACTATCATATAATGCTTAAGAACTCATTAACTCTTTGGTAAAATCCTAGTCTTTTTATAAATATTAATAAAGACGTGATATAAATTGTGTATGAAGTCTAACCACCT